TCCTGCTTTGTTTCTTTTGCTAAGGATTGTTTTGGCTATTAGTGGTCGCTTATGTTTCCACATGAATTTGTGTCTTGTCATTTCCATGTCTGAGAAGAATGATGTTGGTAATTTAATGGGTATTATTTTGAATCTATAGATTGCCTTTGGTAGGATGGGCATCTTAGCAATGTTGATTCTTCCTATCCATGAGCATGGGATATTTTCCCATTTGTTTGTGTCTTCTTGGATTTCTTTGAGCAGTGTTTCGTCATTCTCGTTGTAAAGGTCTTTCACTTCTCTGGTTAGGAAGATGCTATGGAATTTCTTTTTTGTGTGTGGCTATTGTGAATGGGACTGTGCTTTTTGTTTGGGTCTCTGTCTGCTTCTTGTTGGTGTAAAGGAATGCAACTGTCTTTTGCACATTTATTTTATACCCTGAGACTTTGCCAAAGTCCTTTATCAGTGCAAACAGTTTTTTGACAGATTCTCTTGGATTTTCAAGTTATAGGATCATATCATCAGCAAAGAGGGATAACTTGACTTTCTCTTTTCCTATTTGAATACCCCTGACTTCCTTCTCTTGTCTAATTGCCCTAGCTAGGACATAACACAATGTTGAGCAAGAGGGGTGAGAGTGGGCAGCCTTGTCTTGTTCCAGTTTTCAGGGGAAATGTTTCCAGTTTCTGTCCATTTAGCAGTATGTTAGCTGTGGGTTTATCATAGATGGCACCTCTTATCAGCTGTAGAAACTTGAGAAGTCACACAGCATTTACCTGATCCTCAGTTTTCTCATCTGTAAAATGGGTATTAAAATTCCTGCTGTGACTTCTTCAAAAGCTTTTAAAATGATAATCAGATATAATTATATGTATAAGAGAGATATGTAAATATCAATAGTCACACCATGCACAAATATCAATGCAAAATGGAGCATAGACTTCAATGTAAAATTTTCAACTATAAGACTTTTAGAAGAACATACAGAGAATCTTCTTGATCCTTGGTTAGGAAAAGATTTTGTAGATATTCACAAAAAATGTAATCCATAAAAGAAAAAAATTGATACATTAGGCCATCAAAATTTTAAATTTCTGCTCTTCAAAAATAGTTGTGAAAATCAAAAGGCCAGCCATAGAGTGGGAACAATATTTGCAACACACGTTTCTGATAATAGACTGCTATACATCATACAAGTATGAGTTGACTCTCACAACTCAATGAAAAGAAAGCAAATAGGCCAGGTACAATGGCTCACACACCTGTAATCCTAGCGTTTCGGGAAGTGGAGGCGAGAGAATTTTCTGAGCATAGGGATTTGAGACAAGCCTGGGCAACTTGGCGAGACCTTGTCTCTACGAAAAAAATAATAAATTAGCCAGGCATGGTGGTGTGCACCTGTAAGTTTCAGCTATTTGGAAGGCTGAGGAGGAAGGATAGCCCGAGCCCAGCAGGCTGAGGCTACGATAGCCATGAGTGTGCCACTGCACTCCAGCCTGAGTGACAGAGTGAGACTCTGACTAAAAAAAAAATTTTTAAAACAATCTAACTTAAAATATGGGCAAAAAAAAAAAATTGAGCAGACCACACACACGATATGAATGGCAATTAAGCACATGAAAAAATGCTCAACATAATTAATCATTTGGTAAATGCATATTAAAACCACAGTGAGATACTCTCTATGCACCCACTAAAAAAGCTTTTTAAAAATGACAATACCTAGCACTGGGAGGATGTGAAGGAACTGGAAATCTCATACACTGCAGGTGGAAATGCAAAGTGGTATGCCCACTTTGGAAAACAGTTTGACAGTTTCCTGTGAAGTTAATCAGACATCTACCCTATGATGCTGAAACCCCACTAACTAGGTATTAACTCATGATAAATGAAAACTTATGTTCAGACAAAAACCTGTACCTAGAAGGTTATATGTAACTAGTTACCAAAACCTGGCAACAACTCACATGTACTTCAACTGGTGAATGGATAAGCAAATGAGTACATACTATTGCTATGAAATACAACACGGCAATAAACAGAAAAAAAACACTGATGCAGGCAACAACCTGGATGATTCTCAAAGGCATTATGTTAAGTGAAAGAAGACAGCTCAGATGATTTCTTCTACTTATAAAAAATTCTGGAAAAGGCAAAACTCTGGGGACAGAAAAAACAAGTCAGTAGGTTCCAGGAGGAGAGATGGGGAGAGAATTGACTTCAGAGTGGCATGAGGGAAGTTTTGGGGGTGATGT